CACTTGAGCCACAGCACCACTTCCGGCTTTTATCGAACCCAGGGCCTCATGCATGCAAGGCAAGAGCTCTACCTCTGAGCCACCTTCCCAGCCCCTTACTATTTCTTTTAGGCTGCTACTCAATTCTGAAATTAAATTAGAAATCCCTAGGAATTGCCCTTGAATTTTTTTTAACCATTTCATTTATACTTCAAAGCCTTTTCTTTTCTTTTCTTTTTTTTGTCGGTTGTGGGGTTTGAACTCTGGGGCCTGGGCTCTGTCCCTGAGCTCTTCAGCTCAAGGCTAGTGCTCTACCACTTGAGCCACAGCGCCACTTCCCATTTTCTGGTGGTTAATTGGAGATAAGAGTCTCACACAGTGGTAGAGTGGTTGCCTTGCATGCAAGAGGCCCTGGATTCGATTCTTCAGCACCACATAATCAAAAAGAAAAAAGCCGGAAGTAGCACTGTGGCTCAAGTGGTAGAGCACTAGCTTTGAGCTGAAGAGCTGAGGGACAGCGGCCAGGCCCAGAGTTCAGGACTCACTCAACTGCAGTTTCTGTTGTGGCTTCAACTTGAGCTTTTGCTGCTGGCACTTTGCTACTTACTTCAGCCACACCACCAGATCCTCCACTTGTCTTCAAGTGTTGGCTTAGAATCAGATCCTCAGAGCTTAGCCTACTGACTAGCTATCATTACAGGTACAAGCAACTGGCCCTTTAATTCACATCTCTTATTACTCCTACCTGTTCTTCTTTCCCATTCAGTTACAGGTGATAATGACAGCATTTTAGACACTTTTTTTTTCTTTTGTTCCTGATCATGTGACATCAACTTAGGGCATGTGCTCTGTCCCTGGGCTCTTTTTGCTCAAAGCTGGCACTCTACCACTTTGAGCCACAGAGCCACTTAGAACTAGTCATCTCTCATTTTCTCACTAGCTGCTTGCTCAGGTCCATATTACAGGTTTTTAGATTATTATTATTTTTAACAATCTCCCAAATTCCTTTTCCTCTAGTTTTAACCACATTTATGTACAAGATGTTTTTTGGTATTCCCTAAAATTAAGTGACATTTTTCTGGTTCTCAGCTAAGCTGAAGACTTCACAAAGACCTGTGCAATCCAAGATGAATACCCAGCAATGCCTTCATCTCATGGACCACATTTCCTACCATTCTTATCTTAGTCTCTGGTACAGCTAATCTGATCTCTTTTCTTGCTTAAAATATATGATATTTTCATGTACTTGCTGTTTTTTCAGCCAGGAATAGTATTCCCCCAAATGCCCATGTTGCAGACTTTCATTTGATTTTAGACTTTACTCAAATGCAGTAGTCTCAGCAACTTCCATTGTTTTTTTTTTTTTTTTTTTGGTTGGTCGTGGGCATTGAATTCTGGGCCTGGGCTCTGTCCCTGAGCTCTTCAGCTCAAGGCTAGTGCTCTACCATTTTGAGCCACAGCAGCATTTCTGGTTTTCTGGTGGCTAATTGGAGGTAAGAGTCTCCTGGACTTTCCTGCCCACGCTGGCTTTGAACTGTGACCCTCAGATCTCAGCCTCCTAAGTAGCTATGATTTCTGGCATGAGCCATATGTGCCTGTCATTCATTAGCATTTTTAATTAAATGTAAATGAAAGCCTTTCATATCATTATCTCCTGTGTTTTCAAAGAGGTCAAGGCTAGCCAGAGCATCATGGAGACATCTTGCCTCAATTGCCTTTCTTCCCTCCCAAACAAACAGGACAGGTAGAATTGAGAGATCAGACGAGTTAGTGATATCCTAAGAAACAAGCTGAGCATGTAATATCAGCTGGAAATAGGGAGACTGCCCTAAAAAAAAACAACAGGTTAGGACAAAAGACTATCCTAAAAAACCTAAATCAGAAAAGGAGTAGAATATAGCTGAAGTGAGAGGCCCATAGATTAAACCCCAGTACTATCACAAAAAGTGAAAAAACAATCAACTAAAATAAAATACACATACATACATAACCAAAAACCCCAAAACAACCACCATTAACACTATCAAAACAAAGAGAAGAAAGGGATGAGGAATTCATGGGAAAATTATTAGGGGAAAGAAAAATTAAAAAGGAAAGAGAAAATTATGAGGAAAAAAGTGTTGGGTAACTATTTTGTTGACCACTAGTTCTGGTAAAAAGGTAGGAATATATCAATGTCTCAATTCCAAACAAACTACATTACAATACCATGAGATTCAAGAGAAACTCATTCATATATGCACTTTTTTCTTCATAATACCTCAACCTTAAGTAAGGAAGGAGCAAGGTCAGATCCCAAGACCTTTTAATAACATAGGGACCAACCCTTACTGTGGATTTCTCTTGCTTTTTTCTTCAGGGGTTTCTCCTCCTCCACCTCGTCCAGGATCTCTGCGGAGGCCCTTGACCTCGTTTTTCCACAACGAGGCACAGGATTAACGAAACGGGTTCTTTTAGTGAGGGAGGGCTTTAGGACATGAATGGCCCCAGACTTGATCTTGGCTTCTATCCCCTCCTGGGAACCAAATTCATCAGTGTCTGCCAGTTTGTACAGGGGGAGGACATGGAACTGCTCATCCTCAGGAATGCCCTCTGGCTCGCGGTTTTTCTCTCCCAGTAATGTACAGACCTGAGAGAAGAACACAGGATGGGAAAACAGCAGACGCATTCATGGAAGTAGCCCGTAAATTTTACTTTCAATTGATTGCTGCTAGCACATTAATTTTGGGTCAATATATTTTAATCACGCAGGCATACTGACTCAATTCGATTAGCTTCACAACTACAAATAAATGATCACTATCAAATAGCTATGCATATAGATCCATTGTATATGTGTATGTGTGTGAGTGTGTGTTTGTATATATTTGTTTTCTCTGAAGTCAGTTTATAGTCCTAATTTGTATTTTTCAATCAAGGGCTATGCTCTACCACTTGAGCCACTCCACTTATATATATATATTTTTTTGGGGGGGAGGGGGTGAGTGGGGGGGTTGGTTGTGGGTCTTGAACTCTAGGTCTAGGCACTGTCCCTGAGCTCTTCAGCTCAAGGTAGTGCTCTACCACTTGAGCCACAGTACCACTTCCAGTTTTCTGGTGGTTAACTGGAGATAAGAGATTCACAGACGTTCCTGCATAGGCTGGTTTTGAACCACAATCCTCAGATCTCAGCCTCCTGAGTACATAGGATTATAGGTGTGAGCCCCCAGCTCCCGGCCAGATGATATTTTGATACTATAAATCTCTATATTCCATCTTACTTAAGTATGAGAAGATATTTCAGTTACCATAGAACATTACTTTTGGATATTTAAGTGTACTATGAACAATTCTAACTTGCTAATGTTTCCTATAAAATTTTCAGTTCTGATTTAAAAATAAAAAAACAAAAAATAAAACAGCTTTTAAACTCAAGGCTGGCACTCTATTACTTGAGCCATCACTCCACTTCACAGACTGGTTTCAGTCCAAGATCCTCAGATCTCAGTATCTCCAAGGAGCTAGGATGACCGTCTTAAACCAACAGCAGTAAGCATGCTTCTGTTTAACAATTGAATACTTAAAAAAAAAGTTTATAAATTTGTATGACTTATTATAAAATATATGTGTAATGCATATATATGTTTATACACACACGCACAACTAGTTGAAATAAACTATTTCTCTGACAAATTGTGTGTTCTGCTCATTCCAATATTTTCATAGCAATAATCTATCGCAAAAAATGATCCAACCAATTGGCATGAAAAATACATGACTAGTGAGGTCCTTAAATCCACATATCAAAAAGATAACCTGGGGCTGGGAAGGTGGCTCAGTGATAGAATGCTTGCCTTGCAGGCATGAGGCCCTGCATGATTCCTTAGCACCATAGAAGTAGAAAAAGCTGAAAGTGGCGCTGTGGCTCAAGTGGTAGAGCGCTCGCCTTGAGCTGAAGAGCTGAGGGACAGCGCCCAGGCCCAGAGATCGGGCTGCCCTACGGACAAAAAAAAAAAAAAAGAAAAAGAAAAAAAAGATAACCTGTACATAATCAGACACTTAACATCACACAGATAATAATTTCTCACAGCAACAATCTACTTACCAACTCCAGCCTAAGTAACTCAAGTACGTACCACAGTGCTTCCATTAAGCATGTTGTGAATGTCCCTGTGAGAATGGGCACAGAAGTCCAGACAGCAAGTGACCCCAGAAAAAGGACGACCTTTCTTGGTACCAAGACGACACTCTCCAGCAACATCTTCATATGCCACCTTAAAAAAAAGAAAGAAAAGAGGCTGAGCGCTGGTGGCTCATAGCAGAAATCCTAGTTTCTCAGGAGGCTGAGATAGGAGGATTACAGTTCCGAGCCAGCCTGAGCAGGAAAGTGTGTGAAACTCTTACCTCCAACTAACCACCAGAAAACTGGAAGTGGTGCTATAGCTCAAACTGGTAGAGCACTAGCCTTGAAAAAGAGCTCAGGGACAGTGCCCAGGTCCTGAGTTCAAGCCCTACCACCAACCCAAAAAAAAAAAAAAAAGGGACTGGGGAAGGTGGCTCAGTGGTAGAGTGCTTGCTTTGCTTTGCATGCATGAGGCCCTGGGTTCAATTCCTCAGCACCTCATAAGCAGAAAAAGCCAGAAGTGGTGCTATGGCTCAAATGGTACAGTGCTCACCTTGAGCTAAAGAGCTGAGGGACAGCACTCAGGCACAAAGTTCAGGCCCCAGGACTGACAAAAAATAAAAATAAAAAAAATAAAAAAAACAAAAAACATATTTGAAGATAAAATCATGTAAATTATTCCATCATAACAGCAGAAGCTAGGAAGGGCGATTAAAAAAAAAGAATAGAGGAGCT